TGAAATGGTTGTCATTATGGTTATTGAAATTCAATATGAAAAAAGGAATATTATGCACGTTGGCTTTAAATATCCATGTATAACTTATTTAATGTTCGACGCTGAAACCCAACAGAATAATAACTTAGCAACATTAGAAGTAGAGCGGGATTTTGGAGTAATGATGCAATCTAATTTAAAATTGAAATGTAATAAAGCTGTAGGAAAATCAAATCAACTTTTAATTATTTTTATTCAAATATAGTAAAAAAAAAATTGTTACAACTTTTGTAAGACCACATCTTGAGTTTGCTATTTAAACGTGATGTCCTTATCTGACACAAGACATTTTAAAGTTAGAAAAAATGCAAAGAAAAGCTACAAAACTAGTAACAGCTTAAAAAAAATGTCATATGAAAGAAGATTACAATTAATGAAATCAACAACACTAGAAGAAAATTGTTGACAAGGTGATTTAATTTTTCAATATAAAATACAAAAAGTTAGGAGGAGGTTAATTGGATAAATGACTCAATATATAAAGCTCAATTAAATCATTAGAATTTTGTCGTCATAACTAAAAGTTAGCAAAGGGGTACTGTAAGAGTAATGCTAGATTTAATTTCTTTTCATGTAGAGTTGTAGAAACTTGGATTTACCATCATATATTATAGAATCTATAACAATTGATCAATTCAAAAATAAACTTAATAAATCAAATTTTTGCAATAAATATTTATCACTAATAAAAACATTAATTAAAATTAAATTAAAAAGTAAACAATGATATATAAAAATGATATAAAAACATTTATATCTGTTATAGCACAAAATCTTCTGTTATTATGCTCTTTTGGTTAATTAGTTAAATAATATACATTGTGGCAATTGGTTTCATCAATTGCGTATATTATTACTATTAAATGATACTAATAATTATAGAAAGATTCCATTACTCTGCAAATAGTGTTTATAATATAAAGTTTATACAATGATTTTATTAATGAGTTAACTTTATAAACTTTATTATATTATATTTGTTTGTCACGTCAGGTTTTCCTGCTACTGGTAACATGTAACCCAGTACAACCTGCTCCATGTCCTGCTGCCTTGTAGGATACGCTTTTTTAGGCAAAGGCTAGGAGAAGTTAACTCCGAATTAAAACACCCCCTGCCTTGGGGCTCTTGGTTGAGTAAAGGCTAGAGATAGTGTCTCGATAAAAATACTCATCTTGGGCAGATATTACATGCTTCCAGCTGCTGTCTTGTAGAAGGCCTCCTAGGCAAAGACTTAAGGGGTAAACAGATTCTATCTGTTGACCAGCCTCGCACCCCTTCCTCATCTATTAGGCTGGCGCAGATGTATTTTTAATACATTGTTTCCAGTTTAGGATTTTGAACGCTGGATCTTCTTGACTCAATGCGTGGGTATTGCTTGTGTCTCTATTTTTATGACTGGGCAACTCATTCTATTATCTCCTAATGAGGGTACAGCTCTAAAACTCAGTTTTATGGTTCTGAGGCCGGCTGGCAGTCAGGTTTCCCGAACTCTGTGGTAGCTCTCAGAGAGGCTGATTCCATCAACAGCTGAAAAATATCAGAGTACTAACAGTGCCATGTTGCGCATGGATGGTGTCCCTGTTTGTACTTTTGGTGTGCATTGCAGAGGCCACATTTGGAGCCCTTTGTTACGGCTTAGGGTTTATTAATAGTAATGAGGCTATTGCTTAGTTGTTAAATAGTGTACTGAGTACTATCTATACTTGAGTCAAGTTCTTTATAAATTTAAAATGACTAAAGTACCTAAAACTTAAAAACACAAAAAACCATCGTCATCACCAAGTTCTCTAAACCTATCATTTACTAATATTTGTGGTCTTCGAAGTAACTTTTCTTCTGTTGAGTCTTATCTCTTGCAAAGTTCACCAGACCTACTTGCTCTTTGTGAGACTAATTTGAGTTCGGCTGTCCCATCTTGTGATCTTAGTGTTGATGGTTATCTTCCTTTAATTCGTAAAGACTCCAATAATCACATGCTTGGCCTGGGCATCTACATTCGTAAGAACTCACCCATTTGTCGTGAAACTAGGTTTGAATCTACAGACTATTCATTTATGTGCTTTCGTTTAGCACAACTTCACTCTACCGCCTTTCTCTTTGTTCTATATCGCTCTCCTTCATCCCAAGATTGCACTATTCTTGATGTTATTTCTGATCAAATTGACCAAGCCCTCTCTCCTTATCCATCGGCCAATATCGTCGTTGTTGGTGACTTTAATGCCCATCACACCGATTGGCTTGGCTCTAATGTCAGTGACTCTGCTGGCGTTAAGGCCCTCAACTTTTGCCTTTCTCAATCTCTAACCCAAATAGTCAACTTTCCAACTCGTTTTCCAGACAACCCTAATCATTTACCTTCTCTACTCGACTTATGTCTTGTTTTGGATCCTAGTCAGTGCTCAATTTCTCCACATTCACCCTTAGGTACTTCTGATCACGGTTTGATCTCTCTAAAACTATTATCAAATTCTTCTACTTCATCAGAATCCCCCTATCATCGTACCACATACAACTACCTTAAAGCTGACTGGGACTCTTTCCGTGATTTTCTTCGTGATGGCCCTTGGGTAGAAATCTTTCGTCTTCCTGCTGACAAATGTGCTTCTTACATAACTTCGTGGATTCAGGCTGGCATGGAATCTTTTATTCCCTCTCGACGATTCCAGGTCAAGCCTCACTCTTCTCCTTGGTTTTCCTCACATTGCGCTGCAGCAATTTCTTATCGAAACCGTTACTTCCATGTCTATCAGCAAAACAATTCTCCAGAAAACAGACATCTGTTCACTATCGCCAGAAACAATTGTAAAAAGGTTTTGTCTGACGCCGAAGTTCGCTATTCCCAGGTCATTAAATCTCGTATCTCATCACAAAAATTAGGCTCTCGAGACTTCTGGAGAATCTTTAACAGTATCAATAATAAGGGCAAATCTGTTATTCCTTCTCTCTTGTATGGTTCAGACTTTGTCACCTCACCTAAAGACAAAGCTGAATTGTTTGCTAAGAACTTTTCATCAATATCATCTCTTGATTCCACTAGTTGCGTTTTACCTGACATAGCCGCCAAACAGGTTGATCCCTTGCTTGACATTCGCATCACTTCAGCTTCTGTATCTAAAGTAATTTCCTGCTTAGACTCTTCAACAGCTTGTGGTCCTGACAACATTCCTGTTGTAGTCTTGCAGAGGTGTTCTCCGGAGCTTTCATCCATACTTTCTAAACTATTTAACAAGTGCTTATCAGAGTCTTGTTTTCCATCATGCTGGAAAGCAGCATCTGTTATCCCTATTTTCAAAAATTCCGGAGAGCGATCTGATTTATCTAACTACCGTCCCATTAGTCTTCTTCCTGTCATAAGCAAGGTTTTTGAATCTTTAATCAACAAACACTTAATCTCTCATCTTGAATCAAATAACTTACTTTCTGATCATCAATATGGATTTCGGTCTTCTCGTTCTACAGCTGATGTGCTAACAGTAATAACCGATAGGTTTTACCGTGCATTAGATAGAGGTGGAGAGGTTAAGGCTATCGCACTTGACATTTCTAAAGCTTTTGATAAAGTTTGGCATGCTGGTCTTCTCCATAAGCTTTCTTCTTATGGTGTAGCTGGTAACGTCTTTAAGATTATTGAGTCCTTTCTTTCCAATCGTAGTATAAAAGTTGTCCTTGATGGACAATACTCTTCTTTACATCCTGTAACTTCAGGGGTTCCTCAAGGTTCAATCCTTGGCCCTATACTCTTTTTAATTTACACTAACGATCTTCCAGATATTCTCACATCTAAGGTGGCATTATTCGCTGTCGACACTACCATTTACTCTTGTCATGATAAGAAGCCTACACTCTCTGATTGCTTGGAGGGGGTATCTGAGCTTGAAAAGGATCTCACTTCTGCTACAGCTTGGGGCTCACAGTGGCTGGTGAACTTTAATTCAGATAAAACTCAATTTTATTCGGCCAATCGTTATCGTAATAATTTAGATCTTCCTATATTTATGAATGGTAATGTACTAGATGAGTCATCTACCATTCATCTTCTAGGATTAACTTTTACTTCTGATCTTTCTTTTAAACCGTATATCAAATCCATTGCAAAATTAGCATCTGCTAAGGTTGCATCTCTTTATCGAGCTCGACACTTTCTTACTCCAGATTCTATTCTCTATCTCTATAAATCTCAAATCCGTCCCTGTATGGAATACTGTTGCCACATCTGGGGCGGATCTTCTAATGATGCTCTTTCTCTTTTAGACAAGGTGCAAAAACGAATTGTAAATATAGTTGGACCTGCTCTGGCAGCCAATCTCTAATCTTTGTTACATCATCGTAATGTTGCTTCTCTTTCTCTTTTCTACAAATACTATAATGGACACTGCTCTAAAGAGTTAGCGTCCCTTGTGCCATCTACTAAAATTCATTCTTGTGTTACTCGCCATTCAATTAAGTCTCATCCTTTTTCTGTGACTGTTCCTAAGTGCTTCAAAAACTCTTATTCTTCTAGTTTTTTTCCTCGAACATCAGTTCTTTGGAATTCGCTTCCTTCATCTTGCTTTCCTGATTCATATAATTTTCCTGATTCATATAATTTTTATTTAGTCTTGCTCTACAGATTTAGTCTTTTCTCTTCCAGTAACTTCCAACTCTTATAGTGGTTGCTTGCAGCCTTGTTGGAAGTGAAGATGTTAAAAAAAAAAAAAAAAAAAATTATATTCATACAGCACCATTTATTTCAAAAAGCTTTTATATTATGTCACATAAAATATTTTTTATTTTTTTTGCAGACGACTTTAACTATATAATATAATTTATAACTTCAATTATTTTTACAATTTATTATAATACAATTTTTAATAAAATTTAATTAAAAAACTTAAGTAACTGACATGACAAATTTATTAAAATTTTTTGGTGTGACTTTTTAAAACAATTTGAATTATTTTGGATTTAACTATATGTCATAGACATACTTCTCAACATTTTCTTGGCCATAGCTGTAGACAACCTTGCTAATGCAGAAATACTTACAGATGAAGAAATACAAGATAATATTATTAGAATGGAAACTAAAAAAAATCTAGTTCAATTTTATAATAATGGCATATCTGCATCATGTTCAAAAAAATCTTTTTCAGATGCCCAATGGAAATCTATAGAAACCAAGGATAATCTTTATTACAAAAATCAAGAAATCAGTGATGTAGAAAATATATACAGTGACAAAGTAGCATATTTTAATGATGTAATAGCAGAACAGAGATTGTAAGCATTTCATTTTTTTTTTAAAGTTAGAATTTATTTCTTAGTTTAACAAGTATTTTAATAAAATTACATAAGCTAAGCTTTAAAAATATGTTATTTTAGTTAATAAATTGATATACTAAAAAATATATTGTTAATGTTTTAATAATAGTATATTTGTAAAATAGTGTGTGTGTATATATATATATATATATATATATATATATATATATATATATATATATATATATATATATATATTACTAATTACCATTTTATATATATATATATTAGTAATACTTTTCTGCACAAAAAGAAGAAAAACATGGGGTAGATTAAGAGTTGACTTGTAATTGACCAGTTAAAGCTGACCTAAAGCTGACCTAGGCAGAACTATTTGAAAAGAACTTTTCTTCTAATTCCACTTTTGAATCTTATGGACATTCTCTTCCTTCCATTCCAGTCAAACAGGTTGACCCATTGTTAGACATTCAAATCACTCCGGCTTCTGTTGCTAAAGTCATATCTCAATTAAACTCGTCTACAGCTTGTGGTCCAGACAACATTCCTGTCACAGTCTTGCAGAATTGTTCTCCAGAACTTTCTTCAATTCTCTCTAAACTATTTAAGAAGTGTTTGACTGAGTCTTGTTTTCCTGCTTGTTGGAAAATGGCATCTGTGGTTCCAATATTCAAAAACTCTGGAGAAAATTCTGACCCCTCCAATTATTGTCCGATCAGTCTTCTTTCTGTTATTAGCAAGGTCTTTGTGTCTTTGATCAACAAATTCCTCACATCTCATCTTGAGTCAAATAAACTGCTGTCAGACAATCAATACGGTTTTCGATCCTCTCGCTCTACGGCCGACTTGCTAACTGCTGTAACTGAAAGATTTTATCGTGCATTAGATGGAGGCGGTGAGGCTAGGGCTATTGCTCTTGACATATCTAAAACTTTCGACAAAGTTTGGCATGCTGGTCTTCTCCATAAGCTTGCTTCATATGGTGTTTCTGAGAAAGTTTTTGAGATTATCAAATCATTTCTTTCTAACCGGTTCATTAAAGTCATCCTTGAAGGCCAACACTCTTCTTTATTTCCAGTAACATCTGGGGTTCCCCAAGGTTCCATCCTGGGCCCTGTTTTGTTTCTTATCTACATAAACGATCTTCCTGACAACCTTTCATCTAAAGTAGCTCTTTTTGCTGATGACTCAACTTTATACTCCTGTCTTGACAAAAGGTCTTCTCTTTTTGATCGCCTAGAACAAGCAGCTGATCTTGAATCCGATCTCACTTCAGTAATAGATTGGGGTTCACAGTGGCTTGTGAATTTTAACTCTAAAAAAATCCAATTGCTTACTGCAAACAACTACCGTAATATGGTCAACATTCCTATATTAATGAATGGCAACCCTCTTACTGAGTCCTCCTCTTTACCTCTTCTTGGATTATCGCTTACTACTGATCTTTCATGGAAACCATATATACAATCGATTGCTAAATTAGCTTCTGCTAAGGTTGCTTCTCTTTATCGTGCTCGCCATTTCCTTACTTCTGATTCCATTCTCTACCTCTACAAATCTTTTATTCGTCCCTGTATGGAATACTGTTGTCATATTTGGGCTGGTTCTTCTAACGATTCACTTTCTCATCTTGACAAGGTCCAAAAACGCATTGTAAATGTTGTTAGACCTGGACTATCTGCTAAGCTTGAACCTCTTTCCAACCGTCGTAAAGTTGCATCTCTTTCTCTTTTCTACAAATACTATCATGGTCACTGCTCAAAGGAGTTATCATCTCTAGTTCCATCAACTAAAATTCATTCTCGTTTTACTCGTCATTCAGCTAAGTCTCATTTGTTTACTGTATCTGTCCCTGCATGCTCTAAAAACTTTTATTCATATAGTTTTTTCCCCCGCACTTCAATCCTTTGGGACTCTCTCCCATCTTCATGTTTTCCTGACTCATACAACCTTCAACTTTTCAAGTCTTCTGTCAACCGTTTCCTTGCTCTATAACTCTGTTATTAACTCCCAACTTAATAGTGGTTGCTTGCAGCCTCGTTGGGAGTGAATGCAAATAAAAAAAAAAAAAAAAAAAGCTTTCATGCCTGAATCTAGGAGATTAAAACAATTTTTAGTAGTGTTAACAGAGACATCAGATAGAAAAAAAAATCTTGAATAAAATTCTGAATAGTCCTGAATAGAATCCTAATTGAGTAGTGGTTCAAGTTATTTGGAAAAAATGTCAAAATATTTGCTGGGGAAGAGATTGAGAAAAACAAAATTTTTTAGTTTTAGTGCCACCGGTGTTACTGGTAATAAAGCTAAGCCATTGGCTTTATTACCAGTACCCTGCTAATATTGTTGTTATTGGTGACTTTAATGATGACCATTAAAGTTACCAATAAAAACAATATTATCAGCTGGATAAAAACCAAAAGATAAATTCAATTAAAAATAATAATACACAAACAAAGAGTAAGGTGAATGATGGATGAATGAATGAAGAGGTGCTAAACAAAAACCCTTAAACATATAGTCAGAGGATTCTAATTTGATTTAATGACAAAAGGTATATTGATACTTAAGTGTATGCTTAAGTTAGGCATTCTCTATTCTTAGAAAATTAAATATTCATTATACTGTGATAGATTTTTTTATTGAAACACTATCTTTAGCTTTTACTCACCCTAAACCTCTGAGACTGGGGAGTAAATTAGTTCTGAGTTCTTCTTCTAGTTTTTGTCTACAAAAGTAAATTCTTCAAAACAGCAGAACATTTTTCATAATGTTCTGGGTTACATGTTGCCAATAGAAGACTGTTCAAGATGATCATTATCCAGACCTGGTCTAAAATATCAAAAACTGTATAAAATGCCAGGACTACACAAAATATTAGGAACTACATCAAATATCAGGAACCATATAAATTTTCAGAAACTGTAAAAAATCAGGAACTATACAAAATAATATTTAGATAATATATAATAATAAATATAGATAAATATGTATACATTTTGATATAAATATTTATAAGTATATATTAGGATATTATTAGGTATATAGATATTACGACAAATATAGTTATTTTGTTTATTATTTAGTTAATTATATTTAATATTTAAATATATATTTAAATTTAAACAAATACTCTTCTCTTGTCATTTTTAACTAGTTTAATTTTTTTACTTAATAAACTTAAAATAAAAATTTTAATAAAAGAAGAAGTTCTTAAAAAAAAAACATCTGTAAAAACCAAAACTAAAAAAAACAGTATATTTTTGATGTATAAATGCAAATGATGAAAACTTGAATATATTCAAAAGATTGACTGATGTTAAAGCTTATACTGAACAAAGTTAATACCGAGTAGTTATTTATAATTTATAATATTTTTTTAAATTGAAAACTTATTTAAAAGAATACACTAATTGAAATTGAATTGCATTGTCAATGCTTAGCAAGTCAACTGTTGGTATTTCAATTTTTGTCAAAACTTCACAAAGTGTTTTTTTTTTTTGTTTTGTTTTTATGAGACTGCAAACAACAGAGTGTTTATCTGCACAAATTTCTCAAGATTAAAGCATTGATGTTGCTTCTACTTTTCTGCTACATCATTTGGTACTAATTCATGTCTCTTTTTCTTTTCTTTTTTTCAATTTTTTTAAAAATCTTCCTGGCGGATGTCAAGGTCTTTTTAAAGGTGCTGTTTTTGAAGCTGCAACCATTTGTTTAAAGTACTTGTACAAACAGTGTTTGTTAAATATTTCTTACTGCAGCTTCAATTCTATATATATTTTTTATTTTTTTATTTTAATTCACCTCCTCAAGGCCAAGAAGGCCACTACAGACGAGGAGGCTACTTATTTTGTGACTATAACCCTCTCTCAACTCTATAACTGTGAAACACGAACCTTGACGAACAAGGTCGCTGCGCGGAGAAACGAGTTGAGCGCAGTACTACCCGGAACCACTCTTTTATGAACCCGGAACCACTCTTTTATGAAGCGAGCGCTCTACCACTACACCACTACCGCTTATATTACTGCAGCTACTTAGTTGCAAGTGGCAGACTTTTGATTGATACCAATCACAGTTTATTGGTATTAAAAAAAAGTTTGCCACTTGCTACTTAGTTGCATGTGGCAGACTTTTTTTAAATAAAAATCACAGTTTATTGTTTGTATCATTTATAAATTGCAATACCAAACATTCTGAATTTAATTCACAGTAATTACTTCATTTTAAATTGTGATAACAAGTTGGCTAAAGTTAAGCAGATTTATATTAATAGAACTTAAGATACGTAAATGTAATTAAACTAATAGATAGTAGTGTATGTTATAACTTTTATCTTTTATTTTCTATCATTAAAATTTTAATGTCAAATAAAATGTTTCAGTAAACTTTATTTTTTTATTTTGTTAAGGTTCCATAATCTAACAATGACAAAGATAAATTGTAAAGCTTAGCATAGCATAAACTGTTGTAAATACTTTTTTTATATTTATAAAAATTTTTATTTGACTTTTACAGGTTTTTATCAGATCTTATTAAAACACTCTTTTCATTAGGAATATATGGAGTAGCTAATATATATATATATATATATATATATATATATATATATATATATATATATATATATATATATATATATATATATATATATATATATATATATATATATATATATATATATATATATATATATATATATATATATATATATATATATATATATATATATATATATATATATATATATATATATATATATATATATGTATATATATATGTATATATATATATATATATATATATATATATTTATATATATATATATATATATATATATATATATATATATATATATATATATATATATATATGTATATATATATATATATATATATATATATTAAATAGAACACATTTAGGGGGTAGGAGCAGAATTTTTTCAAAAATGTAGTTTTTTGAACCACCCTAAAATATATATATACATATAAATATATACACAT